TGGACACTCACAAGTAGTTAAGATGGCAAACTTTACATCATGTATCAGTTCGGTCACTCAGTCATGTTCGACTCCTTGCGACCCCGTGGACGGCAGCACACCAGGCCTCCCTGTCCATCACCAACTGCCGGGGCTTGCTCAGACTCAGTTCCATCGAGTCGGTGATGCCATCCAACCATCTCATCCTCTGTCGTCCCCTTCTCCTCTTGCCTTCAATCTTTCCCAGCATCAGCGTCTTTTCCAATGAGTTAGTCCTTCACATCAGGTGGCCAAAGTATTGGAGATTCAGCATCAGTCCTTCCAATGAATATTCAAGCCTGATTTCCTTTAGGATTGACTGGTTTGATCTCCTTGCAGTCCACTGTATGTCTAATGTATACATAAAGTGTATACTACGTATACATAAAGTATATGTATAGATGGATACATGTATCTAATATATACATAAAGTACACACTGGATACATGCATCCATGTAAATATATATTTTATGTATATATAAAATATATAAAAATGTATAAAAATATATACATTTTTTCAAATAGTAAAAGTTTTACAAGTCACATGCCTTACTCTAGCTGCACCGGTGCTTCTTAAAGTAAAGGGTCCCCGGGACAGCAGCAGCATCACCTGGGAACCTGTTGGAACTGCAGACTCTCACACCGCCCCCTGACCTACTGACTTCAGAAGGGTGGGGTGGCAGGGGAGAAGGACAGGATTGTGCTTAAGGAGCCTCCCAGGGTTTTCTCAATCACTCTGAGAGTTTAAGAACCACTTTCTCAGGGACTGGCTTTCCCTGGAGCTCCGGTGACTCCATGCTCCCTCTGCAGGGCTGCGGGTTCAACCCCGAGCCAGGGAACTAGGGCCCACAGAACCAGCCCCCCAAACAACAAAGGCCCCACTCTGCATAACTCTCTGAACTCTAGCTGGCTTCTCCACCCAAGCTCTTCCCTGCCCCTCCTTGATGGCGATTAAGACCCCTGCTCTCAGGAAGCTGACCCGTTTCCCACCAACATACAGAAGGCCTCCGCCTCGCCGAGGAGAAGAAGCGTGCTGAGAACTCACTGCATCAGAGCCCTGGACTCTCTGTAACTGCTGCATCCAGGCCTCACCTGCGGACACTCTGCGTGTAGCATGGGGTCCAGCACAACGTGGGTCCTGAGCGAGTGCCGGACGATGAAAGCACACAGCGCGTCTGCATCACCCAGCCTGCCAGGCCCCACTGTCATCCATGCAAGGAGAGCCCTTCTTCATGACGTCCCGCCTGCCTCCGGTAATCAGCCTGAACGTACGTTCACAGCACAAGGCCTCGCAGAGTCCACAGACTAGTCCACGTCCTTTTTCAACTTGAAATCGAGCTTCAGGGCCAGCGTGAACCCCACCTGCCCCTGGAGTCCTCCTGACCACCGGAGATGGGGGGCCCAGGCCTCCCTGAAACTGGTCGATGCTTCAGCAACCAACCAACGAATGTGCGGCACCGTGGGAAAGTGCAGCCTGGCGTTCACGTCCGTGCTTGCGTCCCCCAGGGTCCGTGTCTGCCAACCTTGAACCTGCACAGCGCCCAGCACGCAACCAGCGGCCCGGGATGAGTCAGCTCAGAACCCACGGTGCTGGGCCGCGGTGGGCCCAGTGAAGTCTGGGCTCTTTCCTGGTCTACCATCACAGGTGTCAGCCGCTCACCCCTGTCCTCTCTGCTGCTCGTCCCAAACCCTCCTGGCCTTGCAGCTGGCACCCCTCAGCCAGGCCCAGACCCTGGGACACGCTGTGAGCAAACGGCCCAGACTTCAGCAGGGTCTGTCCCCACGGAGTCCCCACGACCCCGCGCCCACGTGTACCACCAGAGAAATCACAACGGTCTCACCTGCCTCTGCATCACTGTCCCCACACGCACACCCGCCTGTGAGACCGGTCCCTGTCCCTCGGCCCCGGCCCTCTTATTCACCCCTCACCCAGTCGGGTCTAGACCCGGCCCCAGCCAGGAGCACACAGCCCCCCGGCCACAGCAGGCGCTGCTACCACAGCAGGAGGTTAAGCCCTGGCTCTGGCCTCACCACGTGGAAGCCGGGGTCTGCACCAGGGCCTTCCACAGGATCGCTGGTCTTCAACCAAGAACCAGCCCACAGCCTGCTGAGAGGAGCACGCAGGCACGCGTGCAAAGCGCCCCACCCAGAGCCCACACCTGCTGACAGCGGCCTGCGTGGGACACGCGGCTCGGGGCTCACGCCTGGAAACAGCCCGCATCTCAGCACTGCAGAGGAACCTCTGAGGAAGCACAGCGAAGCTCAGGGCAAAGGCGCCCCAGAGAGCAGAGGGAGAGATGGGAGAGCCACGCCTCGGCCTGGCCCGTGGACCTCCAAGCGAGACCCCAACGCCTGCTGAGCAGGGAGAAGCCCCCGGCTTTGTCTCTTGGAGCAGCTGAGCCAGCTGCCGGCCCCGAGTCGGAACCTGCCTTTCAGCATGCTCTCCAGATGGTTCGCATGCAAGTTAAAGTAGTACTGCTCTCAGAGCACCCTCCCGGCCTCCCTCAGCATCTACAATGCATCTTTTAGTCCCGGGCTCACTTTTCAAGTATTTTCCGCAGAGCTGCAGGGGAGGCAGTGCTGACAGGACGGCTCGGAGCACAGACTCGGACACCAAACGATTCGGTCCAAAGCCTGCAGCACAGACCTGAGCTGGGAGGCTCTCACAAGGAACCACGCAAGCTCAGCACAGTGCCCGGCACCCAGCGAGCCTCTCGGTCCATGCCAGCTATTTTTAGCAGCAACTGCAGAGAAAAGAGCTGCAAAAATGAAGCAGGGAAGGGAAGTCTCTCTGAAGCACTGATATGGGAGCAGAAAGCCCAGTCACAAACCATGATTGGGGGTGTCGGGGAGTGGGGAGCATTCTCAACAGAACAAATAACAAATGATCAAAAGGATCCCGGGATAGGTAGACGCTGAAAGGCCCTGCAGGCCCTCAAGTTTCATCTCCGGAGAACTGGAAGCCGCTGCAGGCTGATGGGAGGTGACCTGTCCTCAGAGGTGGCTCCGATCCTGCTGCCTGGAACGGGCTGCAGGGCCCGGGGACCAAGCAGAAAGGCCAGTCCGGAGGCTCCAGGAGCCGTCAGGCAAGAGATGGACAACAGCCTGCGCTGAGGCTGTGAGAAGAGGCTAGCTTCTGGAAGATTCTGAAGACAGGGCTGCCGCTGAACTGGACCTGGAAGAAGGCCCTGAGGATGGTACTTCATTTGCAGCCCAAGGAGCCGACCAATCAAGGTGTGAGATTTGGGTCAAGGGAAGTGGAGGAGTCCAGGGAATACGCACCGGGACGGCAGGGATGGGTTTGCAACCGGAGGCTGGACCTCAGGACCAGCCCGCCACAACCCTGTAATGCCCACGAAGGCCAGGCTGACACCATTCCTTCCAGACTCCTTCACCGTCACAGGACGCGCATGGAGCAGAGGCTCCACACGCGTCCATGGACAGCACTTCAGGACCAAGTGAGGGGGGTCCGGAGGGTGGCCTCCGTGATGCTGGCACTCAGCTGAGAACCGGGAGCAGTGTCTCTAAGGAGCTGGGAGAGGCTCAAGATTCCAGGGCTGCGGAATGGGCACGGGCCCCCGAAGACAGGCTCGCTTGACCGACAGAGAAAAGCTAACCTAAATACAGGCAGGGCAGGTTTGGGGACGCGGGGAGAAGCATGGAACGTCTCCAACGGCAAGCCCAGGAGAAGGGGCCAGCGGTCAGGCCCCAGCATCTGTGGGCTCAACCCTGCTCTGACATTTTAGACAAGGGACAGAGTATGGGATGGTTCTGGTGGCCGGGGAGGATTCTGGAACAATCCACCCGCCCCGCCCTCGCAGATAGCGAGGGACGGCTATGCTGCTGGAGAAGTGGTTCGGGGAGCTGGGGGACCACCACGTGGAAGGGTCTGGAAAGAGGAGGGAGTGGGCTCCCGTCTCTCCCCCCACACTTCTCACAACGCCTGGAGGTGACCACACATCCTTGGTGGTTATGGGCCAAAGCCAGCCAGGCCTTCTCCTAACACGGACGAAAGCCTCCTTTTGCAGAGTGCAAAGAACACTCAGAGACCACCTAGGGAAGAGCCACCACGTGCCTCTCTCTCCAGAGCCCGATGTGGACGAGTGCAGTCCAGCTGTGTTCCCCCTCGGATAAACGTCCCCAAAGAAACCTTCTGAGAGAACGTGAAGTCGTTCACTCGTGCCCGATTCTGCGACCCCGTGGATGGTAGCCCACCGGGCTCCCCTGTCCATGGGGATCCTCCAGGCAAGAATACTGGAGTGGGTTGCCATTTCCCTTCGCCAGGGGATCTTCCCCACCCAGGGGTCAAACCCCGGGGTATCCCGCACTGCTGGGGCACTCTTTACCTACTGGGCCAAATGCAAAAGGTCAGACATGGCCCGGTCCATGCGCTCTGCGTCAGAACCCACTCAGCCCAGGTCACACGAAGCCCGGGGTGTCGCGGGGGCCAAGGGTCAACAAGTGCCTGGCAGGGGCCACAAGGCCACAAAGTGAGTGCCGGCCGCGGCGGTGAGGGTGACCGGGAGGACCAGGAGCGCCTGCCTGCAGGGCAGAAGGCGTGGAGAGGAGCTGCTCTGGCCTTCAGCACACTGTCCTCCAGGCAAAACCCACTCCTTCCTGGGCCGCCCTACTGCTGTCAAGGCTCAGAGCCGCCCGTGTCCCCCCGACTCCTTTCTGGGGAGTCCCCGGCGAGTCGCCGGGCTTCGCCCAAGGGGTGCACTAGGCAGACACCCGCAGAGGTCACCCCAAAAGGCTGGGAAAACGGCCCGGGGGTGGGAGGTGGGGGGCAGTCAGCCCAATTCGCCCCCCCCCCGCCCCGCTACTTCCTGCTGTGTGACCTTGGGCGGCTGGCGCACCCTCTCTGTGCTCCTGGCCCTGCCCCGGGAGGCGGGCGGGGGCCCCTACCCCCCGCCCATGGCCACCCCCCGCGGCCTCGCGGCGCCCGCACCCCCGCAGGTGCGCCCGGGGCCCCGCCGCTCACCCAGTTCCCGAAGCCGAACTGCTCGATGGCATCCAGCAGCAGCTGCTCCTCGCGGCTGGTCCAGCCGCCCTCGGCTTCGGGCCCCCAGAGCGTGAAGCGCCCGCCGTCCACCAGCTGGTAGCCGTGGTAGCGGCGGTGGTGGCCGATCTCGGCGCCGGCGGAGAAGCACTCGGGGCACAGCTCAATGTCCTGGCACTCGGTGCAGCGGAAGCGCAGCGGGCTCACCTCGGCCAGGCAGTACACGCAGTACTTCTTGCCGAGCTCCGCCATCTTCCGCCGCCGGGGCCCCGCCGCCCCGCGCTTCAACCCCAGTGCCGGCCGCCCCGCCCCAGAGGCAGCGACGCTCCGGCAAGCGGGCGGAAAAGGAAGCCGCGGCGGGACGCGCCCCGCCCCCTTTCGGTGCGAGCCTACGCCCTCCGCCAATCAAAGCCGCCCCCCGTCGTCCGTGAGCAGCCTCCCATTGGTCTGCTCTGGCCTGGAGGCGGGGAGAACGGGGCAGGGCCCCAGGCCCTGGAAAGCGGGCGGAAAAGGAAGTACGGCGGGATGCGCCCCGCCCCTTCTAGGTACGAGCCTACGCTCTCCGCCAATCAAAGCCGCCTCCCCGTCGTACGGGCGCGGCCTCCCATTGGTCTGCTCTGGCCGGGAAGGCGGGGAGAAGAAGGGGCGGGGCGAGGGGGCAGAGGTCCAGCCAATCGCCGGGCCCCTCCGCGCGCGCCCCTGGTTGCCCCTGGAAACCGAACAGCCAGCAGCTCCCCGCGGGAGGGTCTACGGCGCTGACCCGAAGGGAGGGAGATGGACGACCACCCTGGGGACCCCGAGACGGAAGATGGAGAGGTGGAGAGTCTGGCCTCGCGTCTGTCCGGGGTCAAGGCCAGCTCCGTCCCCCACTCCCCGGTGGAACCCGCGAAGCCGGAGCCAGAGACGAAGACCGTAGAGGCTTCGGAGGAAGGCGCCGCCGCGCCGAAGCCGGCCAAATCCAAGGAAGGGCTGGCGGTCACCGAAGCTGCTGACGAGGAGGGGCCCGGAGAGCTTGAGAGCCCGGCCGAGGCCCAGGAGGAAGCCGAGCCAGGGGAGCCTCGGGAGGCCGGGCCTGGGGAGCCAGCCGAGCCGGAGCCCGAGGAACCCGAGGAGGACGGGGAGGAGGAGGAGGGCGAAGAGGAGGCGGCGGCGGCGGCGGTGGCGGAGCCCGGGAGGAAGGGAGTCCCGTCGCAGGTCGCTCTGCAGCAGGCCACGGCCGGCAAGGAAGAGGCCGCGGCAGCCCAGGGCACTGCGCGGGAAGACCAGGTAGAGGAGGACGAAGAGAGCGAGGCGAGCGAGGAGGGGTTGGAGTCCCGGGTCCCCCGGAAAGACGAGGACGAGCTGAGAAACCTGGACGAGGGGCTCGCTGTCGAGCCTCACGACTGGAGCGAGGAGGAGCAGAAGCAGCAGGAGCAACAGCTGCGCGCCGAGCTCCTGGAGCAGTACCGCGCCCTGGTGGTGGAGCGCGGCCGCTACCAACGCTACAACAACTACCTGCAGCACAGGATCTTCGAGGCGCTGCGCAAGAAAAAGGGTGTGGAGGCCGCCGCCGAGGCGCCCGGAGGCGACAGGGGCGCGGAGCCCGAGGCCCCCGAGAAAGAGCAGGCCTACCTCCGCCATCTGGCCGTCCTGGAGGACCTGCGGAAGCAGGAGGCCGACGACCTCCGCTGGTATCACCACGAGCTGAACCAGCTGAAGCTGCAGTGCCAAGAGAAGGTCTCCCGGGTGGACAAGGAGTGGCGGCGCTTCCAGGCGCTCAAGAAGCAGGTGGTGATGCAGGCCATGGGCAGCTGCCGGATGAGGGGCGGCCGCCAGGTCGCTCTGCGAGAGGTGGAGCAGATCCAGGCTCTGGAGGATAAGAAGGAGAAGGAGATGAGCGCCGTGAGGCTAGAGAACGTGCAGCTGAAGCAGAGCCTGGTGCATTTTGAAACCAGGATGAGGACCCAGGAGGACCTGACTGAGGGCCTGCTCCTGATAGACTTTGAACAGCTCAAGATCGAGAACCAGACCTTCAATGAAAAGGTCGAGGAGCGGGACGAGGAGCTCCTGAAACTGCGCCACAAGGTGACCAACAACGTGCAGATAATAACTCACGTGAAGGAAAAGTTACACTTTGTGGACATAGAAAACATGTGTAAAAAGGCAGAGCTCATGGAGATTGAGGCTCAGGTGGCCCAGAAGAGGGACATCTTGACCAAGACTAAGCAAGCCCGAGATGGCCTGCGGCTTGACAACATCAGGCTGAATCAGAAGTGTGGGCTTCTAGGCAAGGAATCCCTCCTCCGGGACATGGAAGAGAAGGTGGACAGGACAGAGGTGCTCAACCAGCGCCTGGCGAGCCTGAAGCACCACCACGCCGGGCTTGTTCTGTCCTGCAGAGGCGTGAAGCAGAAGATCAGGGAGGCCAAGGCCTTTCTGCCCTCCTGACTCAACTGATGGGCAACTTCAGTCTCAGCTCACTCCATCCTTCACTAACTGCTGTTCTCTCTTTGTCGCCACTCTCAAAAAGGCCCCTGATGACTAGGATGAAGTTGTGTTTTATATTCTTAATTGATCAGCTTCCAAATTAATGCTGAGCACAGAATTGAGTTAAATATAGAGAAAATAGTAAAACAGGTGCAGGGAAACAAACAGGGATGGCTTAATGTACCCGACTTCTCATAAAAAGCTGTCACAGACCTTTTTCTCTCTGAGAAATTCCATAATTTCAGTGTCCTGACACTGAGGAGAACTGATCCTCCTCTATGTTCAAGAGTGTTCAACAAACGGGCAGAGTGCCCAACAAATTCCTGTGCACCAAGCACATGAGTAAATCCTCTTTGAATGGATTGAACTGTGTGGTCCTGAATCGCTTGTTTCAGTTCAAACCTCACTAATTCCCTTAAAACTGTTTTGCATGTAAACAGCGCTAGCTTCTGGGGTAATCAACACCCAGGAAAAGAGGGATGAGAAACAGGGAGAAGAGCCTTGTCCAATGAAAGGAGGCTCAGTCAGTCTAACTGTGAATGTCTGTTTCTGGCTCAAGGACAGTCTTCAATGCTAGTGACACATTTTCTTGGGCCCACTAAAGAAATGCATTGATCTGTACCAAAAATGAAATTTTGTTTTCCAGTGAAGACAAAATGGTGACTGTATTGTTTGGCAGGTGCAAAATATACAGAGTGGTGTGACTGCTGAGTGTCCACAAGCCTTTCCTTTTCACCAAGATATTTTCAGATCTTAGACCATCACTAAGCACATGATTTTTTACTGTGTCAAATATTAACATGAAGAAACCCCTGACAGGTCTATCCCCTTAACCTGAAATCAGCGATGGCTGTTTTAAGGTCTCTTTGATGCTTTGGGAGTCAGGGGCTTTATTTCTTCATAGTCTTAGCTTGAATTTTGAGATGTGTGCAGATTTGGGATTAAGAGTATTCTTCCACCCCTAAATTTAAGAAGGATCATAAGAAGGGTGATCTCTTCTTCGGTGCTAAATACCTTTAGAAAACCCCACTGTAGGCAGATGGCTCGGTTGTGAGACTATCACGATAACTTTTGTCTTTTGATGACATTTTGTTTTTTAAAGCCAATAAAGACTGATTAAAATTCCCTAACTTCCACAGCAGGAATACTCCTTTACAATACCGTGCTTAGTCAAAGCACATAAATGTAACAGTGAGGAGAGTAAAAAGCGTTGCCTTCCTGCCTCCCTTCTCTTTTTCCTCTACAATTTTTTTGTCTTCTCTGTATCCTATTCATCAAGACCAAAGTAAAATAGTGACTCCCTGGCAGATAGAACTTGGTTTTTCCTGTGCCTCAGACTGGGAACAGCAGTGGCCCACTCTTTTGTGGCTGGGGAGGCTTCAAAGACAAACTGGCAACAGACTCGGTGCCTAGAGCTTTTATGATGAGTCTTCTGGCCTTTGGTTCACTAGAGAGAGAACAAGTATTTTCAGCGGACTTTGAACCACCGGCAATTACCCAGGTGGATTTCCTCATCAGCCTTCAACCTGGTGACCAGTAGGTCTCTGAGATGTAGGGGTGTGGGGGTGTGGGTGTATTCAGTCATGTTTAAGCTGCAAAGTTACCGATGTCCTCTCCAATTATGTTACCTGTGCTGAAGATGTTCCAGTTGACTAGAAGGTAATAATCTTCTGTTAACTATTTCATAACAAAGTTCCAATAACTCACAAGCTGTTTCAGACAGACCACGTCCGAGGAAGAACGCCAGGAACCCAAAAATCATCATCCCCCTCCCTCAGCGCCTGACAGCTGCCTGCAGGCACAGCGCCACCCCAGCCTGTGACCCCCCCCCACCCCGTGACTGTACCCCCAGGAGACAGAGGCCCCGGAAGGCAGACAGTCGGTTTATCATCCTCCCTGGTGACCAGAACAATGTGCAGGAGAGTCAGGCGCAATAAATTTGTTGGGTTAATAACATTCACGTCTGTCTCATTTGCTGAATATATTTGTTACTTGAATTCCTATTACGTGTCAGGCAACAAGTCCCATGCCGGATTCAAAAATGATGACAGGTAGTAGCGAGGATGTCTCAACGAAGTAGAGCCAGTGAGGACAAGGCAGGCTCGCTGCTTTGGAAGGAGGACCCCGAGACAGCTGTCCATTCCAGCAGATCCGCCCCCTTCCTCGAGGGGACAGTTACAGAGCAGTGCCCCAGTCTGGACTAGAAACCCCTAAAATTAAGATGATTCTTATGAACACCAAAAGGCTATAAAGGTTTTTTGTTTTTTTTTTTTCATCTCTTTGTCAAAAAGTACAGGGCCTGAAAAATGGAAGCACGAGACAATCTAAATGATATGTCCATGAAACTAGCCTCTTGGTTTTCTGCTTTCAACATTTTATCCTAATTTAGAAAATAAAACGCACAACCACTTGCTAATCTTCGGGGAGATGGCCAAGGCCTTTCCTTAAGGGTAGAATCTTTGATTCTCGAATGACCGCACCCATTTTGAATTGTCTATAGCATCTCTTAAATTTCTTGCAAAATAACCTCAGTGCAGACTCCAGTCTCATCCTCTTTCAAATCCTGGCCACACCACCTGCTCCATCAGGCAGGTGGCTCGGCCTCTGTGTGCCTCGGTCTCCTCAGTAGTCACTTCAGAGTTGTGCTGAGGATCAAACATACTTTAAGTAAAGGCTTAATGTAGTGCCTGGCACATATTAACATGTAACATCCAACATACTAAGTATTCTCTAGCTGTCTCGGGGAACCCCACCCAACTCAACAGCATTTGAAAGAGATTTGCCTTTACTGAGACATTTCAAAGCTTTTAGTGTTCTTAGAAGCAACAGTTTCTTTTCGCAACACTGGTTTAACATAGCATTTAATTGAATTATGTAAATACAATAACTACTACCATTGGCATAAAAAACTTGAGAACAATAATCAGTGACTTAGGCTCAACTCATGGAAGTAGCTGTGTACGTGCCAGACAGCAGCCTACCAGGCAAGGGAGATTTAGGGTGAACTAGCCTTTCTCTCTCTTTTTTTTAAATGATCTGAACTGGATGTGGCTGTTGTTACAGAGGGTTTTTTGTTTCTTGTCCGCATCGGTGGCATAAGGGATGCAGGCATTACCTGGATAAAGCCCAAGGCATCGGAAAAGGAAACACTTCTTCACCACTAAATGAAAACCATTTTTAGGTGATAGCACATGTGAAATTTTTTAGTTCCTCAGTGGAAATACATGCTTTTCTTTTTGTGTAAGTTCATCTGCAGTCATAATTTAGATTTTTACCACTAGTCAGGCGTGCATGCTTGCTCAGTCGCTTCAATCGTCTCCAACTCTTTGTGACCCCACAGACTATAGCCTGCCAGGCTCCTCTGTCCACAGGATTCTCCAAGCAAGAAGACTGGAGAAGGTTGCCGCTTCCTTCTCCAGAAGATCTTCCTGACCCAGGGATCGAATCTGTGCCTCCTGCATTTCCAGCAGATTCTTTACCCACTGAGCCACCTGGGAAGCGTGTCTTTTATAAAAAGAAAGTTCATCCACCCCCAATACTAGTTTGTTTTAAACTTTGAGATGGTCTTAGGGTGATGAAGCATGCAGATGCTATGGATGAAAGGGACCCCAGGAGACAACTTCTACTGTGTCCCGTCTGAGGACCTGGCCCTAAGGCTTCCCTCTGCCGGCCACACCCCTCCTGTGCTCCTCCTGGTGACCCACAGCTCACCCCAAGGCCCGGCTTGGGGGCACCCGCCTCCCGGCCCTGCTGGAGCAGCACCTCCTTCCCTCTCTTGCCTTCTTGGCAGGCTGCACACTTCAGGGGGTGGCTGTCTTTGAACTGTCAGGCCCCTAGTTTCTCTTGGGAAAACACTCCCCAACTTCCACCCTTGCCACAGTTGGCCGGGGGTCACCCCTCAGGGCCAGCCGTCAGGCACGGCTCTGCCTCCTCAGAGCAGAGGTCAGGAGCCCCAGAGCAACACGTTCTCAGGGTCTGAGTCCCCACACTCTGCCACCACGCGGCTGGAGGCGCGCAAGCAGATCGCTTCTGAGCCACGCCTCCGACACGTCGCGACAGAGCTGCTGCGGAGATAACTGAGGTCATCCTGGAGACTGAGCCCCAGGCCTGGTGCGGGTGGAGCAGTGAGCACACCCCCAGCTGTCAACCCTCGATAAGCCTCCACCAGCCTCAGCCTGCAGAGGGCGGAGACTGCAGAACAGTGGCCCGGAGCCCTGGGGCAAGCCGCCGTGGAGAGGGAGGGCGCTGTTTCTGAGCACTGTGCGGGGCGCAGAGACTTCAGAGCAAACGGCCCAGAAGCCGGGCGCCTGAGAATGGAAGGACGGGCATGCACACCAGCAACGTGAGCGTCCATCTCTCTGCCCGGCTCTGGGACCTGGTGGACCACTTCACGTTCACCGCCACCGCGGTGGGGCAGCACCACTGGTCTCCGCCCCAGAGACAGGGAGGGACCACGGGTACCCGCGGACACCTAAGGGCACCTGGCAGGCTCGGGGTCAGGGAAAGAGCCTAGTAACTGGCTGATGCCCTGCTGGGATGGGTGGCAGGCGCAGGGGGTGGGGAGTGTGAGCATGTGAGCGGAGCAGGCGCGTGGGCCAGGGGACCAGGGGCTAAAGCTGCAGGCGATCAGGCTCGAGGGGCAGCAAGCCTGGGGCTCCCCTCAGCCTCGAAGGGGGGCAACACTAACCTTCCGATCCCTGAAACAAATCACGGTAACCAAACCACCTCTTTTATTTAACTGAGACTAGTAAGTAAGTAAGTGCATTTGAAAATATTCAAATAGCACGATGCTCAAAGTCAAATTTTACCATACTTTGGGGTGAGAACTCTAACTTGAAACCAAACGGCAGTGAACATAAGCAACAATTTTACATGACTTTTATTTAATAAAACCACGTATTTACAATTCAAAAAGCCCTAGTTTGATACACTTTCCTAAATAAAATTAAAGTTTAACTGTACAAGCAATTAAAACATGTTATGTAGCAAGTGTTATCAGGAGTTTTCTATCAGCAAACTATTTAAAATAGTCAAAAACGGAGCAGTTAAAAAGTACCCTTTAAAGTGAACGTTGTTCTAGATGGGATTTCAGTGACTGGTGAGGACACGGCAACCGACTCTGAGGTGCCAGCCGCAGAGGCCCCAACCCTGACATCTCACTTTCTGATCATCAGTGGCACCGGAAGTGGAGAGGGCCGACTTCCCAAGAGGCAGCTGCGTTTCAACTCTGCTTCTGGTTTTCCGAAACCAGAATGGCAAGCAGAGAAGAGCAGCCCTGCGCTGTCCGGCAGCCCTCTGCCCTCTGTGGCAAGTGGCTGAGCGACCCTGGGCTGGGACCTCGACCTTCCCAGACTCCGAGGTGGACACATCAGCCAGCAGAGAGCCTGCGTGGTCCCTGAACAGGTCACGAAAACTTTCTCTAAACTACAGATCTGGAAGTGTTGCAGAATGGCCTGAAATCCTGCTTAAAAACTCAATGCATATACGGTGCTATCCGAAGAAACTTACGTCGAACCATCTGACAGCCGCGTCGAGGGCTGGGGGCGCTGATGGCACGTGGAGGCGCACAAACGCATTCGCAGCAACTGCCCGCAGCCCTGGCTGCATCGCTTTCTGTCACCACTTCGGGAACGTCTTTATGTACAGTAAGAAAATATATACATCTTTCATGAACAGAAAGCTCACGTCATGGGATGAGACCACATACTACGTCTGCGAGGAAGGGCGTGAAGGGGCCGGTGGCCCGTTTCCAGGCCTGCCCCGGCCCGGTTACGCTCAGCCCCTCACGGAGTCCGGGAACGGCTGCCCCAGAGCTCGGTGGAGACAGAAGGCCTCCTCCAAGGGGTCAGGCAGGTCGGCGATTCAAGGCCGAGCAGGAGGTGGTGGGGGATGCTCTGCAAGCTCCCCGGGAGGTCAGCCAGGAACATGATGGGGGAAAGGACATGTGGCACAGAGCCAGGGCGGAGGGCACGAGGACCGGCCACCCGCTCGGCAACTTGCTTTGTACCCGAAGTCATCAGCAGGCACGGCAGGTGGAGAAAGACCTATAAAAGTAACGCTGTGGTTAGGCTCCCCCCCCGAGGGCGGACGTATGGCTGAGAAGGGCGGCTGGGCAGCAAGTGGCGTGGCC